ATTCTGGATTTATATGTTTTTAGGATGTGCTAAAAATTAAATTGTTGACTGTTTATTAAAACAAATTCGATGAGTAAACTGGCTTGAAATGAAGCAACTATGAGGATAAAAAATAATTACAGTCATAGCAATTAATGTTTAACCCAGCACAGTCATAAGAACTACATCATCCAATGTGATTCTCATTACATCTGCATTTACTCTATTTGATTCAATTATGCATCATTTTCCAAACATTTCTTTAGGAATACCTTATTTGCTGCCCCCTGAGCAGGAATCTTTTTAATCACTGTTTTTTCATAAGTATATGAGATTTGAATGCATTTTACTTTAGTCGGGTAAGAACAGTCATCCTTGCTGATAAGCGAGTACAATTTTTATATTTTTCTTTTCAAATACACACATATATAGTATTTATTTGTTAACATTAATCATATACTTTAAAAATTACATCAACAATTTTACTTTAATTTGGCTTGATATTATGTTTTAGGTATTACCATAAGCCACATCCAGAAAGTAGTACAACTGTTTGGTAATAAATAACAGAATGCAAGAAGTTGTAGAAAACCTTTCTATTTGGAAGTATTTTAGGAGGGGAGGGGTAAAAACAATGTTGTTATAAACCTTTCAGTAACTAAATTACTATAGGAATAATTATAGATAACAGTAAACTACACTCAGTTTCAGTGAATAAGTATATCACCCTTCTCTAGGACCCAGTCATGCCTAATTGAAAAAAAGTACTGAATATTGTAATTTGAATTTCTTTTACATAAAACTCACTGGGCTGATAGTGTGGACATCTTCGTGGCTTTTCTCCAGTGTACAAGCATGAATATGAGCCAGTTTTCCTTTCAACGTCATTTATAAAAGGCACCCCTTTCCTTAGGCAGATAATCCTTATGTGATAATCAACTAAATAAACACACTTCTCTGTAACTCAAATTTTACCATATGCAGCCCAAGTGAATTTCAAAACATTTCCACCCTGTTATCTCACCGAGCTGCGAGATGTAGGGAAAAGTGCCTGAATATAGCTTGCTTGTGTTAAAAGGATTTCTTGGAGATTCAGTCCTCTCAGTAGCATACACAGGAAAACTGGACACACAAAAATATACCATACACAGGAAAACTGGGACACACAAAAATATACAACTCACATTGTATTTAATTTCTTCACTCTCAAATGGGCAATTCTATATACAAATACATATCATGCACGGTTACAATTTTACTAAAATATAGAATTAGAAAGTAATTACTTCTCCCCAAAATTATAAATTTATATGGATATGATTATAGTGCCTCTAGTGTATAATTTAGTCTAAAAGGCACTTTTTACCTGCAAATAAATGCACTGAAATTGCTCACATGTAAAACTATTACTGAAATAATTGCAGAGGATAAACAGCTGCCTCCGTCTCATCAAAAAGTTCACAAATGACAGTTTGATAAATTTCAGTTTATGAATATACTCATACACATTACATAAATTCAACAGTTTAAGGAAAATTTTATGGACTTTCAGATAAAAGAAACACACATTTATAATATTTTATAAGCTAACTTCAGACTGATTCAACAATTTATATTAAAATATTTTTAGATTAATAATATACGAGGGCTATCCAGAAAGTAGATTACGTTTTGGAATAAAAAAATAAACAAAGTATAGGAAACAAATTTTATTATATACAGATGAAAGCCACACTCAAATACTACTTTTCTACATAGTCACCATACAAATTAAGGCATTTATCGTAGCGATGTACGAGCTTGGAAATTCCTTCGTCGAAAAATTCGGCCGCCTGCGCCTTCAACCACTTCGTTACCTCTTCTTGCAGCTGTGCGTCATCATCAAAACGCTGCATAGCCAGCCACTTCTTCATTGCTGGGAATAGGTGGAAGTCGCTCGGTGCCAGGTCGGGACTGTACGGCGGATGAGGAAACAACTCCCACTTAAAAGATTCAAGAACTTTACGAGTGACATTTGCCGTATGGGGCCGGGCGTTGTCGTGAATCAACAAGATCTTAGAGCTCAACATTCCTCTGCGCTTGTTTTGAATTGCTCTTCTGAGTTTTTGGAGAGTTTGGCAATACCTTTGAGAGTTTATTGTAGTGCCTCTTTCCAGGAAGTCCACCAAAATTACACCTTTTCTGTCCCAAAAAACAGTCGCCATCATCTTCCTTGCCGACATTGTTTGCATGCATTTCTTGGGTTTTTGGGGAGAACTTGTGTGCCCCCACTGCATTGATTGCAATTTCGTTTCACAATTCACATGTTTCACCCATGTTTCGTCACCAGTAACGATGCGATCGAGTAGAGTCACCATCCTTATGGTAAGCGTCCAAAAAGTTCAACGCTACAGCCATTCGCTGATTTTTGTGGTCCTCTGTCAAGATTTTTGGAATCCATCTTGCACAAAACTTGTGGTAACCAAGCTTTTCGCTGATGATTTCGTGCAACAAACTTCGCGAAATTTTGTGAAAACTCAAAGAAAGTTCCGTTATTGTGAAAATTTCGATTTTCACGGACTTTAGCATCGACTTTTTTTCGAGAAGTTCGGCGGTCACTATGCTGGGTCTCCCACTTCGATCTTCGTCGTGGAACATTGGTTCGGCCATTTTTGAAATCTTATGACCCACTGACGCACTCCACCTTCAGTGATAATGTTGTCCCCATACACTTCACGAAGCTGCCGATAGATTTCTATCGGTTTACAGTTTTTTGCAGTCAGAAACCTTATTACTGAGCGCACCTCGCAGCTCGCGGGATTTTCAATTAACGCAGACATTTCAAACCGTCACAGTATCTGAACGGAGCACAGCACGAACCTCTCACTAGCACGGCTAGATGCAGACTGAGCTGCGCAACGCTCTGACCCCAAGATGGCCGCGCTAGCCCCGCCCCTAGCGGACACAGACGGAAACGTAATCTACTTCCTGGATGGCCCTCGTAATTTTACATACCTATCTTTTTATGGAAAAAAAAATGTGGAGTTGTAATACAATCCTGAAAATCAGTTTTTATTTTGTAATCTTCATTTTATTTTATTTTGTAATAAGTCATCTACTTTCAGACATTTCAGGCCACCCTACCAAGCTAGACCTCCAGTGGAATGGTGTAGCACCAGGGTGCCTGGGTTATTGTGAACCCTACCCCTTGTAGAATAAGTACACTGTTGTGAATTATATCAAGGCAATACCTACAGTTAACATAGATCAAATGAGTATATACATAAGATTTTCTTTTTTTTTAATATTTATATAAGACATACATATATATATATATATTTAATTTATATTTTTTTTTTTTTTTTTTTTTTTTTTTTTTTTTTTTTTTTTTTTCACAAACTAGAAAAACTGACAAAAAAAATACTTAAAAACTAGCAAGGCACAAGAAATAGAGTAAGTGTGAGTCTCACGGTGCATAACAGAATAAGTAAGGAAAAACACATTAGCACAAGTCATACAATGAAAAAATACAGTAAAGGAATTAAGCAATATTACTAGCCAGTATAGCTGAGGTTTTGCACATTATTCACATCATAATTGTAGACCCGAATAACTGGGTTGTTAATATTAGGAAGGTTATAAAAAAATTCCAGGCAAGCTGGCAGTAATAATGTCTAAGCTCCTCAATCTGAAGCTCCTCGTGTATCTTCCTATACCAAGATAGTGGTTAGTGAAACTGACTACCATACCACAGGGCCTGGGTTCAAATCATGGAAAAGGCACAGATGTTTGTAAATGTATAGTGTCTGTGCAGCATGGGGACACTCTAAATATGCAGTTAGCCGAAAATCCTCTCAAGAGGTTTGGGGTAGGGAAAGAAGAGTGGGAGACCCTTGGACCCACTCCCTAGGAACTCTCTCTCAAATCGTACTGTCACGTATATGTTGCCTAAGGCTCTTGCCAGTGGCAGGCATAATGCTGTACTCTTTGCCAAGATAAATTTCATGGACCTGATCTGATGTTACTGTCAATCGGATGAGAAAAACCACAACAGCAAAAAGACATTTTGGCTACACTTTGCTCATTTTTAAAAATCCATTGATATGCTTTGCAGGTGCCTTACACTTTTAGATTCGCTTAACTACTACAAGCACCTAAACACACACAGAGAAAAAAAATCAAAAGATAATTACTCTTGCATGACTAAAGAATTCGAAGTTTTATCTTGTTAGTAAAATTCAATAAAGTTCTCTAAATTAGACAGTCAAATATTAGGAACTTCAGATTCCATGTTACTTCCAATTTTAATATTTTACAAAAGTGTGTTTTTCTTTAATTTTTTTAAGAAATAACTTTTAGATGTTCAGTTATAAAATTCCACCCTCTTAATTTTCAGCCTAATCTTTTGCATAAGGATATTTGGCCTCAAGAAGGAATATATCTTACAATCAAACTTCAATTTAAGGAGTCCATGATTAGTCACAAAAGTAATACTAAAACAATGATTAACTACTATTAACTAAACCTGTAACTTCTGAGGTTAATTTCAATTCACCCATGCTTAACCGCAAAATCTTCTGCAACTTAAAAAAAAAAAAAAAAAAAAAAAAAAAAGATTAAGAAAAAGCTCTAGTACTATTAAGAATATTTTATTCTGATAGAATAATATAATTTAAAATAAATTCTCATGCTGCTACCCTGTTTCATAGCGAACTGAATTTTATAATACTCTAAAAACTGTTAATAAATACTATATCATAATTTAAAGATCCAAACATCAATTTTTAGCTCTTGAAAAAATGCACTGCCCATATTACAAACTGAACTTAACTGAATTTTTCAGGCCTAAATTAAATCAGATTAAGCTAAAATTAACCATGCCTAGATGCAAACTATGCTCAAGCAAAATAAAACAATCAAACACTTTATGAATATATCTATTATATCTGGTTGTAACAAAAGTTTCCCGCCAAAAAAAAACTGTTCTTAATAAAGTTAGAAAAGAAAAACCATGAAGGCAGTACCTTTAGTGTGGATAGTAATCACCACCCAAATGTATGATTTTCTGTCAGTTTCGGTAGTTTTAAAATGCCTTCAGCCCAGAAACTTGGTGGCCACGAGTCCAAAAATAGATGATCCTCATTTTGGACGTCCTGCGCAGAATGAAAGCTAGCAAGATGTAGCTGTGGATGTGAAAAAAGGTAGAAGTATGAAAGAGCAATGCCACGGCTATATGGTGGGTGTAGCAAAAGATCCCATTCAAGTTCGTACAAAGTCCAGCCAGTGAACGCAGACACATGTGGTCTTGCATTATCCTGATGGAACGTTACCTTTCTGCAGCAGAACTCAGTTTGACATTTTTCCTTAACAGCAGCATCAACACAGACTAGCATCTTGCTGTACAACCTTAGTACAGGGGTTATTACCTTTTTCCAGATACTCTTTACTGTAATGTAGCAATATATATATATATAATGTTGTATGATCTTAAATTCATTTAGTGCGAAAACAAGTTACTACTATTTGCGCAATTGCTGCAAAGTAAGTTAATAATAATTTATTTCCTAAACAATATTGATTAATTGATTATATTATCTCCTAAGTTTAATGAAAGTAGAATTATTTTAAAAGATTGAATCCATACTGGTAAGTTATATTTTGAAAGATGTTTTGTAAGTTGAAAGAAGTAAGTTGAAAGTAAAATGTTAATAATGTTTTAACGGGGACTGGAATTAAATCATCATGAAGAACAAAATTTCAATCGTAAAAGGAAAAATTAAATTAAAAGCATGTAATAATTGTCATTGATCGGAAATTAATTGACTTTTCAAGGGGAAGAAACCAACTCCCGCTCAATGAACAATAATTAATAAATAAATACATAAATATGAAGGTGTTTCGTCTTTACTCGAGTAATAAGGTTAAGCCAAACCGGCAATTCTAGTCACGCCAAATATTTCCACGAATAGAAGGGATTATGAAGCAATGCTGATACTCAAAGAATTTATTCTTATAATCAATTAATCAATATTGTTTAGGAAATAAATTATATATATATATTGCTGCAACATAACTCTTTCCTATACAGTACCTGTACTATGAATCATGTTTTATAGATATTTTACTAGTTGCCCTCACATGCTTATTCACCAGACCTAGACCAACAAAAAATCACGTGCGAGTCTTAAGGGAAGATGCTTTCTGTAAGCAAACTATGCCAAAAACTGTGTTAGACTTATATCTAGAAATTCAGAAAGCAAGACATATTTCAGAAAATATGTATCATCTTTACATACTAACATAAGCTAGAGAGGTGGAAAATATCACAAAGGATGGTACATTACACAATGGATGCTTTATTTGTTCACTGAAATATTCATTATTTTTGTCGTTTAGAGATCTTAATAAGAGATACATCGTAGTAATATCTAAAAATGATAAATCAGCTTTATCATATTCTAGCTTATTTGACAATTTTTTTAATTACATTTTCCTCTCATTTTTTAGACAACTTCTAGATCTTTTGCATTTTAAAATCCTTTCCTCTCAGTTTTCAGTGTGATCTTGGCATTAGGATATATGGCCTAAAGAAACAAACAGCTCTTAAAATCAGACAGAAATTTAATGACCAAATGATAAATTATAGAAACAAAACTAAATGGATGTTTAAATAAAATTATGTTTCTGGCATTAATTCTACTTCGCCCATGCTTAATCCCAAAAGCTGATGAGAAACTGCAGCAACAACACTTAAAAAAGGTAGAAAAAAGCTCTAATACTAACTCGTTGACAGCTGTGTGCATTTTATGTGATTTGTCCATGGAGCCAAGAATTTTTTACTATGCCATGTATATTATGTTGAAATACAATCTACAGCAGATAAGGTGAGATATATAATCATGTTTGATGCATTATTCATAGCGGGAGTCACCGCTGACCCTCCGAAGTGCTGTTGACCATTTTTTGCGATTATCAGTTGTTTCAAGCAACTATTCCTATTCTGATTTCTTAGTCTTATTCAAGTGTGTCCTACAAGCAGTTAAGTGCATTTGTTATACACTCACTTTACACAAGTTTTGGCTTTCTATTTCATTAAATTTTTAAATTAGCCCTTACAAATATGCCTTCAACTGAAGATTATTGGTCAAATTCTTCATCTGACAATGCAGTTTTACAAAGACCCTACAAAAGATATCCTCTGCTATCAGATAATGAGAAAAGTTTATTGAGTAGTCTAGCTGATATGATAAGGCCATCCACAGTGTTCCGGCACCAAATTGAGTCGAACAGTGAAACTGAAGTTGAAGATGACATACAAGAGGAGTTTCACGTGAACTGGCATATTCCTTTGGAGAATCAAGCCAAGATCATGTTTTCGAATTCGACAAGAATCAATAAATGCTAATCAGAGATTTTTACTTGTACAGAACTCCACAGTTTTTATTTTCTTTTTGCCATGGATGATATATACCAAATGATCGCAAATCAAATGAACATCTGTGCTTTTCAAAAAATATCAGAACAGTGATTGTATTGTCTAACATCAGGGGCATGAAACAAAGTCTAACGAAACGTTTCTTTGTTTTCATTATATGGATCGGATTGGTGCAAATGCCAAAAATTGAGCTATATTGGAGTAATAATGAAGGATATAATCTGCTATTTAAATATATAATCATGCCAAGAAATCGATTCAAATTACTTTTGCCGTTTCTTCATTTTAATAATAATGAAGAAAATAATTCTACTAACAGATTACCTAAAATTATTCATATTATCAAAAACCTAAATAATAATTTTAAGAAATATTATAATCCATATGAAATATTGTGCATAGATGAGTCATTAGTGCCATTTTGAGGCTGCATAGTATTTCGACAATGTATAAAACAAAAACATCATAGATATGGTATCAAAATTTTTAAATTATGTAATGAGTCAGGCTACATTCATTCATTTTAAGTCTACATGGGCAAAGACAGGCATACAAATCAAATATCTGGAAACAAAATGTCTGACATTATATTATCTCTTTGTAAAGATTTTGGGCAAAGGCCATACTGTCTACACAGATAATTATTACACAAGTGTAGACTTTACTGAAAAATTCATTATAATGCACACACATTCAGCGGGTACTGTACAAAAAAAATTGGTGAAGCAATCGAAAAGAAGTAGTGTCCCCAAAATTAAAACATGCATATCTTATCGAGCGAGAAAATGAAAATAGTGTAACAACCTTAAAGTGGAAGGATAAAAAAAGATATGTTAACAAACATCTAAAAAACATTCTGCAGAAATGATAAGTGTGCAGAAAAGATCTTGTTTATATGAAAAGCCAAAAATGATAGTAGATTATAACTTAGGGAAATCTTCAGTTGATTTGTCTGATCAAATGACTGCTGATAATTCACCACTATAAAAAACTACTAAGTGGTGTAGGAAATTGGCAATAGAGCTTTTACTGAATATTTGTGTTGTAAATTTAATTGTTAGTTACACAAACTAGAAATTCAAAAAACAAAATTTCAACTCTCGATTTTGGGATGAGGTTAGTGATGTATTTAGTGAAATGCTCCGATGATGAGGATTGCATTTCATCAAGCAATTATGTAGAGAAAAAAGCCTCCATGAATTTAAAAAGACAGGAAGTGTGTGAAATGTAAGGCGATTTTCCAAAGTGTGCTGCAGAAAAAATTCAAAACAGCTAGGGAAAATGAGAGCAAAGAATTGCATTAAAAAAGTGGCGACATATTGTGCTGACTTTTTTGGTTCACCTTTTCTTTGTCTAACATGTTTCAAAGTAACTCATCCCAGTGTGAAAAAAATAATATGTAACATTTCCTTATACTTATCAAAATTATTTTTGCATGTTCTGTATGGAATTAATTTCTTCAAACCATTATAGTAACATAGGTATTATTTAAAAAATTATCAGTATCGATTTTACTCTAATTGTGTATTTTTACTATTGGTTGCGTCATCGGTCACCCCACAGTGCTGTAACCAAGTCGAGTGCCTGCCAACGGTGAACCTCACGGCATGTTCTGTATGGCATTAATTTCTTCAAACCATTATAGTAACAATGGTGTTATTTAAAAATTTATTAGCATCAATATTTACTCTAATTATATATGTGTACTAATGGTCACATCGCCAGTCACCAGTGGCCCCCATGGTGCTGTAGCCAAGTCGTGTGCTGACCAATGGTGACCCACCATGGCAGTCAACATGTTATGAATACTTTTATAATACAGCAATTTGATTAACATAAATGTTCATGCAGCCTGTCATTTTATAGAAAATTGACTAATAGTCTAAAACAACAGTGTTTTTGCTTACTATCAAACTAACACTAGGAGCTTTAATTACAAAAATTATACTACTTCAATAATTAATATTTACATATGGTAATATAATAATGAAGTAATAATGTAATAATAAAGTGAATGTATAATAAAAATTAAGAATACTTGTTAGTAATAAATTGATTCACAACTTCAAGTAATTACAAAATATATAGTTATAAATATATAGTTATAAAATCAGGTGGAAAAAATGATAAAATTTTTCACAACCTACATACCTACCCATATTTTTGGAACCATTGCACTAGATCCTTTACAGTATTTAGGATGCCTCTCCACCCTAAAAAAATAGTAATTTCAAATTAAAGTTTATTTTTTAATAACTTTCTGAAATTTACTCTTAGTATATGGCAACATGTATCCCCCCCCCAAAAAAAAGAGGAAGTTACAATACGGCAAGTATAGCAACTAAAGGGTTTCTTCATTAAAATGCTTAATAAATGAAGAAGATATCCATGGTTTATGAATGCCATCAACAACGGACTCATGTTGTAAGACACAGACTAATTACTAATTCACAAAAATTTAATTAAATTGGTTAATAAAAAGGTAATTGCAATACAGTTTTCTATATCATCCATATCCTTCTGTATTTATATGATATTCAGATGGAATGTTTCTATAAATTTCTATATATACTTGGTACCAAATTATGAAAGAAAAAAGTGCTACATTTTATACATGTGCAGTTACGATTTATTTTCTTTACATGCTCATATCTCTTATCAAAAAATCACTATTTTCATTCAAAATTTTAGTTTTAATATTTCTCCTGAATGTGTTGATGTTATTATGTTTTGTTAAATACAGATAAAAACTCAATATTATAAGCAAAAATGAAACATAAAAAATGAAGTTTTTAAAAGATGCATTTATTACCATTGCTAATATGAGAGTTATTTTGACAAAAATGCATGCACATAATGTACACACAACATAAAATATTTTGTGAAATTTACAGATAATTCCTTGGTATTAATGACACAGGATGATCAAAAATAATTTTTCCTAATCCTTTTTTTGCTGACCTCTGATTTCACTCATCACTGAATCTTCACTGTAAAGTTCAAGCATGCTATTTGTACAGCTATATTTTCTAAACACTTAACAAGTATTCACCAGAAATTCAAAAACATGTCTAAATTCAAAGGTGCTGGTGACTTTTGGCTATATAGTGTATTTAAATATCCTGAGAAAGGAAGTGTTTGCCAACAAACTTAAAGCACATGGCTATTTATTATTACTATGCAAACAAGATAATTAAAAGGTCTGCAAGGCATGGAAAATGCAAAAATTTGCATTCAATTAATAGAGTTACATTAGATGAAGTAAAGTTATTTAATATGATTAAGCATGCAAGTGCTATCTAAGTATGAATGATTCTGTGCAGGACTTTCTAAAGGAAACTACTTATAGCTTACATTTATGTTACACACGAGAAAACTCACAAAAAAGAACATATCCATTTTGACTGGTATAGAATCTTAGACTAAACTATTATAGCCCCATAACATTACCATTCACTCACTTGGAAGTCAAAATCATGAAAATCATCTAGTAACAAAAAATGTATACATGAAATTCAAGGAACAAGAAATCATCTAGTAAAAATAATGCATAAAAAATAATTCATAAAGCCTTTAGTATCGTAGTTTTCTGAACTTCCTAAGCTAAGGCAATCCATTGTTGGTACGCAAAATTTCAAGAGACAGGCTGCATTTGCAAAGGAAAAACAACAGGTCGTCCTTCAGTAGAAGACGTAATGGAGAGTATTGAAATCAGATATGTGAGAAGCCCTAAAAAATCGACATATTACGCTGGACGAGAACTGAGAGTAGCCCAAAAAAACTGTGTTGAGAGTTCTTAGGAGGCGCTCGCTAATGAAACCGTATCATTTGCAGTTGGTGCAATATCTGAAACCCGAAGATCTGCCACATTGACTATCTTTCTGCGAGACAATCTGGCATGCATGAAGGATGATGAATTTTTTAAAAGGTTACTATTCAATGGTGAATCAACTGTTCATATTTCTGGGTTAGCAAATAAGCATAACGTGAGAATTTGGGTTACTGAACATCCCCTGCACCAGTGCAACACCCGTGCGATTACCCTAAGGTTAGTGTGTTTTGTGCAATATCCCATGAAACTATCTATGATCTGTTATTTTTTTCGGAAACCACTGTGATGGAAGGAGTTTACCTCGATATGCCCAAATTATGGCTTCTGCCACAGATAGAAGAGGAATGCCTAGCTTTATTCTGTAGCAGGATGGCACACCTTCACATGCTATGATCAAAGTGCAACGCCATATCAATAACATGTTACGACAATGGTGAATTGGTTGCATATCTACCACAGACGATTCACTCTAGCCTTGGCCACTATGATTTCCAAATCTCCCCCCATGTGATTTTTCCTGTGGGGGTTCGTAAATGATCATGTGTATGTGCCTCCAGGTTCAGCGATCAAGACAGATTTGTAAAAACATATCATAGCTTCTATTGCCAGCATCGATACAGACATGCTGTGCAAAGTTTGGCAAGAATTACATTTCAGACTTGATGTCTGCCGTATAACAAAAGTAGCGCATATCGAACGTTTGTAAGAAGTATGTTCAAAACTTGCCTATATTACCTCTGCATGTATGTACATCTTTAACATTTATTACATTTTGTGTAGTACACCTATGAAATTGAGGCATTCATTTTAACTTACCATGCATACTAAAATGAGCATTTTTCTCTGCAAAGAAAAATTAAATACTTCGAACACACTGATATAAGGTACTGGTATTTTCATATTTTGCACATTTAAGAAAAATAAGCAATAACATTAAACAAATGTCAATTTTGGATATCTTTACTAGAAAGTATTACATGTGTCAGAATGTGAAGTTCTATGTTATTTTATTCATTTCTTAAACTTGATCAAAGGCTTTGCAATCAGCTGTTCAAGGGATATTTAATCATGCATTCTTCTTCAGATATCCTGCTTTTTCCTAACTAAAAATTTTATCACGAATGAGGGGTTTTTTTTTCCCTTTTTTTCCCCCATTTTGTGAAGAGCAACTTCTGAAATATTTAATTTTATCTAGCTTCAACAAATTAAGAATTTCTGAGTGACAAGTTCCCACAAAAATTTTTATTTTTGAATGTTTGTGAAGCTATTAGTTTACTACTTTCTTTTCCCATGGCTATATTAGTTTACTGCTTTCTTTTCCTTTTCTTTCTCTTAGCATTTGAAATACTTTTTTCATTATTTATTTATTTACGTGGTGTTCTGCCATTAAGGACTCTATGGAAAAAAAGGAAGGGATGCCTCATGGAGGACATTTTAAGAGAAACTGGCTCATCTCCATCTTACACATGGGGAAAACCACAAAAACAATCGCATAGCCAGCCCATTTGCCAGTACACAAACCCCAAACTGAACTACCAGTGTTCAGCAGCTTTTACTACTCAGGCTTTGAAAGGTACTTTTATAATCTTATTAACTTTCATTATATCAGTATACTTATCTTAAGTGCATTTGAAAGAAACAAAATTTTATCTTGGATAGTCCTATCGAGTTTTCACTAAACAATTTCTAGTCATCAAACATTAAGCATAACTTTTACTAGCACAGAACAGATAACTTAAGTCAGTTATATTATTAATGCCTAGCACAAAGTGACCTGGGTAATGTAAAATGGATGAAAATTCACCAATCACCATGCTCCCGACACAGCAGAAAAATCCACCCTCAAGCCAACGTGCTGTAAATTCTACTTTGCCTTCTGAATAGGTTAGTTTGGAAGAACCGATTTTCAAGACCCCATGTATCTGTTCTTTGTATCAATTTGGCAAGTAGTTTCTAGTGGTGCTGCTGAAAGATTTGCATGTAAAATTGTTAATTTTTAAACAATCAGGTCAGAAATGCTTGACAGTAAATATGCATGAATGAGATAGCCTGATACACATAAACTTAAAAGTTTCTTTTGAGAATTTTATTTTCTTTAAATTTCAAAATATAAATTATTAATGTAAAATTTTCCCATAATGTCTGCAATATGCATAATGTTGTGTATCACTGTGGTGTTTTTTATGAGTTTCCCGTTTACATCTATTTATTATATCTTCCTTCTTGGTGTTATGATTTTTTTGCAAAAGAATGTATCTCACCTACTCAGTCAGTTGGATTAGAAATGTAGTAAGTTTTTCCTTTTTTTCTTATGATCGCAATGTACCATCCTCAGTCAACTTTACCTACACTCATTTATACAATCATCTGCAGTTACATGAGTCAAAATTGTGTTATATAAAATTTGGAATGCCTTCACTATGGTTATTGCTACAACTGCAATTTGGCATGTGTAATTATTTGAAAACATTCAATTTTATATGCAACTCTATTTTTAAATAAATTATATGGTTTCTAAATATGAAAAGCAATATTTTATGAAAATTCCTGTGTCTCCTACATTCAGAGTTTTCCTATCCATGAAAATAGACTAAAGTGCCTTTAGACATTATCCTCAAATTCCCATACCTAGAAATGATGGATGTTGAGAAAGAAAACCCGAAATTTAATTCATAACCTCCCACTTACACGATGCAGGGCACTTTGTAAAGTCTAGAGGGAAAAAGTCATTCCAAAACAATGAAAATATTTTATTGGTGTACAGGAAACACATACCAAGACACAATAACCAAATGTTTATTCACATTCCTAACTAAAAACTAACTCTGATTTTCATACATTCTAGAAGCTGACATCCCTTTCCCTCAGCATCAGTTCGCAACATCCTTCCACAACTGAGACTTGGGGTGTCTCAAACTCATAACAAGTGCAGTTGAATGAAACCAGTCTTTTAGGCACTTTCACATAGCTAGAAAAAAGGTATATCTTTCCATTATTACATCATCAGAAGACAAAAATAGTTTTAAATCCAAAAGCTGTCTGTGAATTATTTTCAGTTAACACTGTTCCATTAACTTGTAGATCTAAAGCGAAGACCTACTACACTGGTCACAGCTCTTCCGTGTTAAGTTTTAAGCCTAACCATGCAAACATTCCATCCTGATCAGGAATCAGTTCAGTAATCTTTGCTATGGGCCAAAATAAATGCTTTTTATTATCCGCAGCAATTAAAAATATTTTACCAATTTTTGGTTCACAACATCATTGCATTTATGAATAAGCTCATTGAGACATTCTTCCCTAAAGTGTTTTCTTAAATTATTAAAAAGTTTTCTTCTGTATCTTAATTTTTTATTCAGTTTTGGGGAATCCAATTCATCAATATTCCTAACACAGGAAAAATGGTTTCTGATAAGAAAAGTAGCAAGTGTAAGAGGAATCAATTCTTGTGGATCTTCTGAAACATATATTAATAATGTTATACAATTAATAACTCATTCACAATCACAGATCACAAAATTCAATTGTTCCTGACTCAATAAAAATTTACCTGAAGTACGTTTTAACAATTCGAACCAATCTCTCCCACCAGTTTCCCGAGCAGGCTGCGGTTGGTGGTGTAAATTTTCAAATTATTTTATGTGTGAAGCTCTCTAAAAATTTTATCCCAATCTAATGTATAAAGATAATTAAATGCTCTTTTGAAATTGTTTTCATTATCACAAAGTGTGCTTGACCTATCCCACCCGGTGATAAACTGCCTGTTGAAAATGAAAAGCCAAAATTCAATTCATAGATTCACATCTATTCAATGCAGTATTTTGGAAAATCCAGGGAGACAAAAGGCATTCTGAAAACATGTTACTACTTCATTGAAGCACATACAAGGACAGACAAAAAAACCAAGCATTCTTTCGTGTTTCAAACCAAAGACTAACTCTGATTCTCATACATTCTAGAAGCTGATGTCAATTCACTTCAGTTCGCAACATCGCCTAAGCACCAAAAAACGAGGGGGACATCTTTGGATGCCCTCCTTGAGCTCTGGCAACCATTCTTCCATGGAGTACACGAACAAGACAACAATAACAACTTTCAGTTTTTTAATATGAAAACTAACTTTCAAGGCATTCTACTTCAGTAATTGCAAAAGCATTACAAGATGAAAGACTGTACTTTCACAAAGCAATCCAGAAGCCCTATGAATGTCTTGAAATTTATATAACATCAAAAGGCATGCATGTAGAAGGCTAAATAATGATTGTGTTATTTTTTTCAAATTTCAACTTTTTATGAATTCAATCCTAAATTACATACAAAACAATTATAATTACGATTTTTATATAATACAGATCAAAGTATTTATACAAAAACAAATTAAGTGGTAAGTTTCTAAGTAATGTCCTATATTATTTAATATTATCTGAAGGATATGATATACATAATTTTCCAAAAACCATCTTCTGAGAAAAGCTTCTCAAAGTTCAAATGCAGTCTCATCTTCTGGGGAAATTTTTTTAAGCTAAAAGTAATGAGATTATTCACAGTCAACAGCTACATAACTTATTATTTGAACTGGTGGAGATATACAACTGGATATGTACGGCAATTTTAAATTCATTTTAAATATGGGTTTTAAATTTTGAATGAAATTTTAAGTAAAATCTTATCTTGGCATATTCTGAAAACAAACAGTATTTAATTTTGCATACCTAACCAATAATATATGACATAAAAAGAACTAAGTAGTAATTATCCTGAATATGAGAAAGTGCACCAGAAGTGGTCATTACATGTTAATTCAGATGACAAGCATGTCCATAACAATGAATAACATAATAATAATATCATATTACTATAAAGAGTAGTCAGAGTTAGGGCAGTAACTTTACCTAATTTTCACACAGAGTTTATTTAGCATTCAAGCTAAAATTTTGTGCTTGCATTCATTTGGATTTTGGAAAGGGATATTTTGCAACTTGTATTTTGTGTAAATTCTAATGAAATATTGTTTAATGTGTTCCCGGAGTATACCATGTCTATGAAACTTGCAATAATTGAATTTGGCAGAATTTTCTGAAAGAAACTGGCTTGTATTCACATTATATGTGGAGAAAACCATGAAAACACCCATACAGCCAACCAGTTCACCTGGGTTTGAACTAGTTTGAGACTACCACTGTTCAGAAAACTTCACCACTCGGTCAATGATTAAAAGCATAGCAGCTGTTAAAAAGCATAAGTATATTCTTTACAGAAGAAATGTGTATGAAGTGACATCACCCAAGATAGTATGATTTGCGATTCTAGGAGTAAAGCAGATAAGTTAAAGCTCTTCCAACTATTTGGCATGGTGTCGCATTATGAGTGAGCAAAAGCCATCTGCACAAAGATGATTGCACCTTTTTTTAATCGAACATGTATCTATCTACCATGATACAACAACCTTATTTGTTATATTCTCACCCTTTGATCCCACTACTTTTTTTTTTGTTATTGTTGCTGTTATCACAATGACTGTAAAGAGAAAATAATTTCAGATAATTAGAGATCTCCAAAATGATGCAGCACTCACTCTATGACAAATATGAAAAGAAGGATTCTGTCAATGCTTCTTAGAAAGTTACAGCAAAGTGTGCAGCTTCTACTGTATGTTATTGTGAAGGTAATTTTTTTTTAAAATTAAGAATAGAAATGGCCAACATTTTCTGCAATTTTTTAACGTGAACATATGAAAAATATTCAATACTGAAAGTTGTTTCTTTCAACTATAGTGGAAATTACAAACAACAGGGAAAAGCTTCTAAAAATCATGACTTCTTTTGATGATTATGGGAAAATTTGGCATTTATGAATACCCAGAATACTCACGAAATTTATTGTTTGTAGACTTAAATTATTTGCGTGTATATTATTACACATAATTATCCATGTGCACATTATTATATAAAAGAATATTAAATAAAAGATATATTAAATTTGTGCACTGCAATTAAATTACACTTTAGTCATATTCTCTGAAGAGCTAAGTCAGGTTAATCTCCTACTTTCAATATTAACATGCTCAATACTGACTGGCTCATATTAAGTTACATGGTTTCCTCAAGCAAACCAACAACTCATAAGTGGAATGGTAGCAGAGACATAGTTCCTTTTCAGTAAAGCCCATAGCAACTGCACTCTCATTAACTAGTATACAATATACGACTCGTATTTATGGCACATGGTCTCAGGTTTTGATATGTTGTTTACAGTTTACCAGCAAGAAAGGCACTCATTTCCCAGCCGACACGCTGGTGTGCCAGAGCGTTTTTTCATTCACTCCCAGCTATCACACATTTTGCCAGTGTCCTGGAACATTTTAAAAACTTTAACTTTTGGCACAGGATGGCATTGTATGTCTATATGGTTTCAGATGCATGTAGATTTGACATTCTACTCAAAATGAGAGTAGCATGACTCACATGCACGTGGGTTTTGATTATATAAACATAAAGGGAAGGGAATGCTTCCGAATGGCATGCTTTATGGTGGCTCTTTAAGCTATCATATATGTTAAAATTAGTGTTTAAATACCTTTTCCTTTACTTTACATGAAAATATATCCAAAAAAATTGCTCACTTTGAGAAATAATTTTTGGAAGCACTATTTAAATTATTCCACAGTTTTCGTTGATAAAATACATTAATAAACTTTTAAATTAATAAAAAAATACAAGAAACTCTGTTTACAAAAAGTAAAATCTTTCACATGAGCTGGAAGACAGACACTCAACGAGCTCAGTCTCTGACAAAATGCCCATATGAGAATCACTAGAAATACCACTTTGTAATTCTTTAGGAAATGAATCATCACTCTCATTCATATCACTAATTGGCTCATTTATCATTTGTCTGATAAAAAAAGCCTGCTTACCATAATAAACTGAAGTCAAAGGTATCTAAGTAAACTGAAGGCTTTCCGAAATAAAAGCAATGCAAAACATAATAGAACCTCACATAGTAACCCTAAAAGACTTTACATAGTAACAAAAAAAGAATGCAAAAACAATTCAAAGGGATATAGAAACACGAATGTTTATATAGCAAAAAAATGCTGTTGGCCAGGAAATGAGTGTATTTCTTGCTTCTTCATGGATTTTGGCTTAATAGCGAAAAACCCTTCTGACCTGGACAGACACTGGTGAAAGAAACTGCTGGCTTCAGTGATAAGCACGTGTTTGAGCTTCCCGTCATGAAAGTGTTAAACAAAGTTGCTTCATTCTTTAATTTTATAGATAGATATAATATATTGTTCATTTAGAAAGTTCCAATTGTTCAGAGATAATTTATTGTTCCATTACAAAGTATCGCTGTTCAAGGTCCTGCAATTACTGTGTTGAGAATTCCTGCTAAAGCCAATCAAATTTTTTCTCTCACCCTGATATCTTTGTCACTTTCTTCACTATCAGCAGCAGTTCCTGCTGTAGCTTTAGAATTAGGAACTCTTTTCAAAACAATGAAAAATTCCAACTTTGATTTTCAAAAGGTGCTTAAATAATAATAGGCTGCAAAAAATAACAAGCTGGATAAAATTATAAGGTAAGGAACAGCCCAATTTGCTACATTAACTGAACTTAAATCCCTCTGAATCAGTCATTTATCATTTTAGCATATGGGCTAAATGCTAAACTAGTACTGGTTGTGCACTATTGCAATCATGAGACAAGTGACTAAGGACTTGTTTTTCTGCTAAATTTTGTCTTGCTTTTACCATATGCTGCAAAAGTTATACCTGAATTATATTCATTTAGTTACTTATTAAATTTATGTCTATTTCTCACATATACTTAAGGTTTATCCGAGTCCTAAATTAATTTCAACACATACCTCAGGCTCATCTGAATACTAAGACTTAATAAATACATATTTTGCTACATTTTGTCTTTTTTCTATCATATGCTTCAGAAGTTAAGCCTGTATTATATTTGCTTAGCTATTATAATTACAACTATTTCCCGCCTATAATTCCTCAAGACTGTGTACACTTATATAGACTTATCCAAATAATAAACCAGTTATTTTTATTTCAAACAGAACTAAATGTAATCATTTGGCCTATGAATGACATTTAAAAAATCAATTTTTTGCATATAAAAAGAAATATGTTAATTCTTTTCATCAGCGTAGTCAAAACTGTGCAATGCAGTTGGCTAAAGTCTGCGATCATCAGCAAGCCTACTGTCAACAGGAAAGGTTACTATATTGTTTGATATTTTATTGATATATTTTTTTTTAAATTGTTTTAAACATTGCTGCATATGAAACTTCTCAAGCTGCTATGAGTTAATAATTACATGGCGATGAAACCAAAAAATAATAAAAACGGATTCCCTTGTTAAGTTTATTCAGAAGGTTTCAGAGATGAACTCTGGTAGAATGCTTCGGTTTGAGATGTATGCCAACCAAAAAATTTGC